GAGCCTCTTGACCTGCCGGGTCAGCCCGCCGTGACTCGCCGACTCGCCTGGCCTGCCGCGCCACAGGGAGCGCCGGACTCAACTACGAAACAGCAAAACTTTGCGCGGCCCTGCCCGCTTTGGATTGCGCCGCGTCTGCGGCCGTCCGTCCTCATTGTTTTCGGCTGCACCGGCCGGCCCGGCCGGGCTGGAGCGTTGGTTCGGCTGCTACACTGGGAACGAGGACCACTGAGGAGCGCCAGGTGGTTGGCTCGCTCGCTAAATCCACTTGCACTCGTTCACGCTCGAGCGAACGTGTCATCCGCACGAGCGCACACAACTTGAAACAACTGATTTATCCGAAGAGTTTCTTTTAGGTGCGCGTCACCAACGGGGAAAGAAAAGGCAGGACACCCACGCCTGCGACACAAGTCTAGCGGCAGAGCACGAGGCCGAGGCGGCCGCCGCGTTCCAAAGCCACTGCCTTGCAGTGCACTGCGTTTTGTTGAGTACTTGTCTTGCCCCGCGGCGCCGGCCCACTGAGGCCCGCCGCGGCTGGCGCGTTGAAAAAGTTGGCACGCCGCACGTGAGCACGCGGCTTATGCAAATGCACTGGAGTTTGTCACTGCGCCCCCCGGGACCGCCGGGGCCGCGCCCACGACGTCGGCACAGGCCGATTCGCAGTGTCTCTCTCGCACTCACGGGCTGCTCATGGGTGCGAGGGAGAGCGCGACGAGAAAGAGTCTCGGACCGCAGCTTCGGCCTGGCTGGGCCGCAGGACTCGGCACGGCGCGGTCCTATCGAATCGAGGCATCGGGAAGTGATGAGCGGTGACCAGCGCCAGTCCGAAACTCTGTCTCTCTCGCTCCTTTACGGGACGCCCCGCGGGTGCGAGGGAGACAGAGCGCTGAAAAGCCCGGCGGCGGGGCCGGGCGGGGCCTTGCCGGCCGTGGGCGCGCAACGCGTTTTGGTGCCCCTCGCCCAATGACTCGGAATAAGCGCTGCTTTGCTCCGCGCTGTGCCGGGAAGCCGGCAAGGAGGAGGTGGCGACACCGACGCCATGATTCGCCGGCAGGGAGGAGACAACCGACGACCGGGACGGGACGTCTCTTCGCGCTGAGATTTCGGTCGAAGGCGTTTGAGCGAGGTTTTGAGGCCGTCTGGTCCGTTTAGTAATTTAGCTTGGGTGCTTCAATCCTTGCAGATCTACACACATTGAATATGGGATCACTCGTCAAATATCGGGATGGTGAACTGTTTTAAAACTGGTCCTCAATCTGCCATTCCACTCATTGAATTGATGCCACCCTGTGTAGAAAATCGTGTCGAGGTGTTACCGTTTTCTCCAACTTACTGGCGCTTCACCTTGTGGTCGGTTCTTCGGACTTGTTCTTAGGCATAGTCGTTGAAAATAAAATCATTTTTTTTAAATGCGGACTTCCCTGCTTTGCTTGTCTCCGCGTGGCACTGGCGAAGCGGCGTAGTGGCCTACACTGTGCGAACGGCTGGCTGCACCCGGAGGCCCGAAGGCCAAGGCAGGTGAAGTGGGCAAAACGCTGGCACCGCGCTGGCACGCATTCATGGAGCGGCATGCCATCTGTCCGTTGGAATCCCTGCAGCGCACTGCAGTGCGGCATTCCGCGATCTGGTGCACTGTGTGTGGAGGTGGCTTTCGAGAAGTCCGTCGCTTTTATTTCATCGCTCTGTTTCATCGAATTTCATCAGCTTCACCTGCTTGTGTGACAGTTGCCATGTTTTTTTCCCGTGTTGATTCTCTCTGTTGGCCGTCCAAAATCTCCTGTTGTGGTGTTTGGCGTTGATGCTCGCCGCTCAAAATATCCTTCCTGCCGTGTTTTTCTCTTCTTTTTTGGTGCCAGTTCTCCCTTTCTGACGGCACCGCGCTGCTGACCCCGTGGCCCGCTTGGCCCGCTTGGCCCGCTACTACACGTGTTTCCGTGTCCTCGGCGTTCCGTTGTTTAATACATGTGCCTCGCGACGCGCTGCCTCCACCCTTTCATTCTGCGCCATCGGCCGAGTGGGACGCGACAGTTGTATCGGGGCCTGTGCCCGCCAGTGTACACACGGATTGACAGATTATTACACCCACAGGAAGCCATCCCATGATTGCTCACTCATTCCTTCATTCCTTCATTCTTTTCTTTTTTTGCAAAAATTCTTTTGCTTCTTTACTGTCTGAGTCAGAGACTACGCAGTAATTTTTTTTTGCGGTAGCATAATTTTTGTGATGTAGATAGATATGCTACAGAGACCCTAAATTTCTAAAATAAAGTTGACGTTTTTTTCTGCAACTTTTTGCACACATTTTGATGGACAATCGCTGTGGACAGCCTAGCGGTGTCCCTGCCGTTTGTTCCAGGACTCCAGGTGCGCGTGGGGTGGGGCAATGCATCGCAATGCATATCGCCTGCAGACGCCATTTGCATAATTACGTCGCGTCTGAATGTCACCGCCTTCTCGATTACAATGAACCGCGCGCGCTTCCTGGATGTCTTTATCGGACGACACGCGTGCGGACAACGGGAGGACACAACACGCGTCGTACTGCTGTGAGACGCAGCGGCCAAAACTTAATTCAGACGCGTTTTGAGCTCCAGGGTCGCTAAACAGGACTCGAACGGAACGTGTGACCCACTAATAGATTGCTCATTCGGAGAGCAATCCGTTGGTGGGGTCACACGTTCGTTTCGAGCCCTACTTAGCGACTCTGGATCTCAAAATGTGTCTTGGATTTTGACCACCTCCACCGGTCTTCTGGCCCACTGTGCGCTGCCAGACACCTTGTTGTGCTCAGTCTCCATTTGCACGCAGTCTACAGCCTCGGTGGAAGCCGGGAAAAAGCGCAGAGAGGGGGAGGGGGGGAGAGGATTACGCACGGAAGCCGTACCTACCCGTCGCCGGGCCGAGCCTGCTGGAATATGCATTAGTGGCCCAGCCCGCTGGAAATTGAAAGGCGACGTCCATAATGCACGCGTCTCGCGGCCTTTCACAATTATTCGCAACTCTGCAACACACACACACACACACACAGAGTAAGGAGGGGGAAACAGGCCTCCACTCTGTGTCCCTCTCTCTCTCGCTCTCCCTCGTGTACCTGGCTGACGACGACCAGATTCGAATTTGGTTCAATGTGTGGGGGGAACATGGCGGTATAAAGGAGGAGGTTGGCGGTCCTTGGGGATGCCCGCTGGGAGCGTCTCCCCGCTGAGGCTGGCTGGGAGATTTGATGGCTTTGGGGCGGGGCGGCCGAGGCGGCCGAGGCGGAGAGAGAGCCCTGCCGGCCGGCCTGGCGGGCATTAGGTGCTTGGCATGATGAAGCCCTCGCCCCCAGTTGCGGCCGGCCAGTGGCCGCGGAGGGCTGAGGGTCCTGGAGGAGGTCCTGGAGGTACGGGAACCGCCAAGACTGGCCCAACTGGATGGATGGAGACTGTCGCCAGGGCTGCACTTGTCAAATGAAAATGTGTCCGAATGGGGCTGGCCCGGGCCTGGGCCTGGGCCGGGCGGTGGTCAGGGGAGCCGGACAGGCCATTGTGGACGACTGGGCCTTCGATACAATGGCGATCCCTTTCTGTGAGGACTGCCCTGCGAGGTGCTCTCCAGGCCTAGGTGCTCTCCTCGTCGACACCCTCAGTTCGTACCTATGAACCTGTTTGACCACATAACGATTCGTAACCTGGGTAGGCCGGTATGTGCAACCCCTGTCTATGCAAGAGGGGAGTAGCTTCTTGAGATGTTCCTGGAAATGCAGTTCCGTCCAACTCAATCGAAAGAAGCTGTCCTTGGTGAATCCCCGAAGCCTTTCCGAGCCGATCCCCGCGTCGGTGCGAACCTGCGCAACAGGCCAACCAATGTCTGACCCACTGGTGGAATCACTGGTTCGACTTTCGGCCGCACGAGACCCCCTCATGGCCCTTCGTGATGTAGGGCCGAGCCGTTGTGCAGTGGCGCCTATTTTTCTTGTCCGTTCTGATTAGACGGGGAGAGGGGGGAGGGGGGGGATTGGGTGTGGTGAACCGAAGCCACTTGTCCCGGCCCACGCAGTGCCGCGCAGTGCCACGCAGTGTACAGAGTGTGGGCCACGAGGCGGCACGCGCTGGCCGTCGTGCGGCGTCGTCTCTCTCGCTCTCTCCCTGCCTCGGTCCCAGCAGTGCCGCTGCAGTGCGACGGAGACGGCCGAGCCCACCTATTTTCTCAAGTGGCGTCCGCCTGCTTTCATCCCGATCCCTACTTCGTTAATATTCTCCGCGAAATGATTTTGCCAATAATTTGACGAATTTCTCATTATGTCGCTTTGTGCTCTAATTCTCTCTCCCCCCCCTTTTCCCTCCTGGTCTGTCCTGGTGGCATTTCATTAATTCCACGAATCCCCAGACCATCCGCGGTATTGGCGCCCGCTCTGTTTGACTCACTTTTACGTGAAATTTAATATCGAAGCGTTCCTCGCTATCTGCATTGTTTCGGACCGGCCCTCCACGGTAAAAACGGAACCTGGTTTTCCCAGGAACAGCCTGGAAATCGCCTATGTCTCTACCATAGGCTTCCTGGGAAAACCAGGTTCCGTATTTACCGTGTCCTTTTTTCATTCTCTCTGTTTGCTTTCTATCGGCTGCGTGTGTCGCGCCACGCAACAAAACGTCCAAGAACTTTAAACTTCTTCCACATATTTAATTTGTGAACAGATAAATTTATGGAAATTCGGTAGATACTTTCTTACTGGTTGTTATGGACTTTTTTGCGTTTCTTTGTGTGAATTTATTTTATGGTTTAGACGTGGACAGAAGTAAATTTTAGGCTTGTCGAGGAGTGTTCTTACCTGCCCTGCCACGTCAAACCCATTTTTATACATAGTTTGTTCGAGGGTCTTGCATTTCGAGTTATTGACTGGCGTTATTGGTTTCGTTTTCTGAACAATGTCATGTGTTTTTCAGTAGCCACTTTGGCCCGCTGTTGTCCTTTCCAACTGCTAACACTTTTTCACGTTTTCCTTTTTATTTCCTTTCCAGAACTTGTTTTATTTAACATACCGCCCCAGTTTCATTCGGAGGTCTCCATTGTACGCGTCGCAGCAGTGAAGGTACGTGTGCTGCTGAGATAAGCTTGTGTTGAGCCCGAGTTACGAGAACTTAAAAGACGGTGCGTGTTTCAGGTTGCAGGCTCGAGCCTCAGTGATGGATCCGAAACGCCGCGTCGCATCCGAAGTGCTTTCCTCGGTACCCAAATCGTCTGACGATGCTGTCACTGACCCTATAAAGTGTGGTACTGCGAATCCGAAATTCAGGCAGCAGCCTGCAGAGATGCTGACTCATCAATGTACAGCGTGCCAAAAGAAATTTAGATATGCAAGTCTCCTTAAAGTTCATTTAAAAATTCACTCCAAGGAAAAGCCGCACAAGTGCACAATCTGCGAAAAGAAATTTAAACTGAAAGTTTATCTTAAAAAGCATCTTTCAACCCACGCCGAGGCGAAGCGGCATGAATGTACTATGTGCGAAAAGAAATTTAGACTGGCAGCTTATCTCAGAAGGCATCTTTCAACCCACACCGAGGAGAAGACGTATGAATGTACAATCTGCGAAAAGAAATTTAGACAGGCAGCTTATCTCAGAAGCCATCTTTCAACCCACACTGAGGAAAAGCCGCATAAGTGCACCATCTGTGAAAAGAAATTTAGACAGGCAGCTTATTTTAAAAGGCATCTTTTAACCCATACTAAGGATAGGCCTTTTAAATGTGAAGTTTGCTACAGGACGTTTAGTAATGGAACGGATCTAAGGAATCATTTAAGAATTCATATTAAGGAGAAGAATTTGAAGTGTGATGTTTGTTATAAAAAATTTTCTTCGAAATATGAGCTTACAATCCATTGTAGAATCCATACAGGCGAGAAACCTTTTGAGTGCGTGGTATGCAATAAAAAGTTCAGACAAGGGTCACATCTCCGGTCTCATCTTAGGATCCATACAGGTCATAAACCATTTGAATGCACGATGTGCAACAAACAGTTTAATCAGACTTCCCATCTTAGATCTCATCTAAGGACCCACACCGGGGTAAAGCCATTTGAATGCTCTCTTTGCTATAAAAAATTTCGTTGCCCAAATGGTCTTCAGCTTCATTTAAGAACCCACTCTGGAGGAAAGCTCTTTGAATGCTCTATTTGCAATAGAAGGTTCAACTTTGCCTCAAATCTCAAATCTCATCTAAGAAACCACACTGAAGATAAGCCCTATACATGCACAGTTTGCAAAAAAACATTTAAGTTTGCATCCGCTCTCAAAAGTCATCTGGAAACCCATCTAGGAAACAAGCTTCATAAGTGCACAGTTTGTGACAAAAAGTTTACCCATAGGTCATCTGTTAATAGCCATTTTAAAATCCATTCTAAGGACAAACTTTCGAAGACATCTTTGAATGCACGATAATCACCAAATGTTTCAGACAGAAATCAGATTAAAGGAGTTATTTTGAACTTCGCACGGAAAAAATAAAAGTGTAGGCCTGATTTCTGTTTTAGCTGTAATTTTGTGACGCCTTCTTTGAGAAGGAAATTGTAAATTAAGAATCCGGGCAGGAGCGAGAAGGTATTTGGTCTTTCATTTTGTTGACCGGCATGCGTGACTTGCATTGTCTTCTGTTCGTTTTTTGGTAGAGATTAGATTGATAACGTGTCTAATTTTGTGTAAAATCATAGCAATTGTAATGCAAGATTCTAGGGAAAATGTTCAGTACTACCGTCCTGGAAGTTAAGTTTATCTTTTACGCATTGTGGCAAGGATTTCCAATAGCATATTAACTCAGTTGTAATGTTTGTATTTATTTCTTGTAGAATTCTAAACTAGCTAAATGCTAGTGTTGTATTTCTGTATTTGTCTCCTGCGCAATAAACGATGATTAACTACAGTAACTCGGATTTTTGTCGATGTTAGAATTCCGTTCATCCGCGTCTCTTACACAACCCAATGTTCTTGGTCTGAGCATAAGCCATGATACGTAATCACCACTTTTTATTTTCTTTTTTAATATCAACTATTCATTTTATATCCAACTGGTAATTTTAAAAGACAAAATTTTCCCAACCACAATTCTTTACGGAATGGAATGAAAACAATTTGGTTGAACAGCAAATGTTACCGCCTTGGGGCGCTAGACTGAAGTGAAGTGAAGTCCAATGCGACCATGAGGTGCAGTTGACGTTCATCAGAAGAGAAAAGCACGATCATGATAAGAAAGTGCAGTAAGTTTCTGCGATTGCCTTCTTGGACGAGAGCGAGCCCCCTATCTTTTATGCCCGAGTTTTAAAACCGCTGCTCGAAAATGGAAATCAGTCTGTCCGGCCCTTCTGGCACTGCGTCGCGGATAGTCGCGGTCGCTCGGCCCGTGTTCAGTGGCTACGCGGCGCCGGGTCCGCGACGCGCACCTATCGATTCATACGCGTTGTTTATTACACCAATTCATATATTGTAGCCGATAAATAAGGGTGGCGGCGCGACGGGGTGGCGCTGGAAGGCCCGGCTCAGCCCCCTGGGGTCGCTCCCCGGCGCTCAGCCGCCCCGCCCCTCTTCTCCCCGCCCTGCCCCGCCCCGCCCTCCTGCCGCCGCGTGATGCTTTGCTTGAAAATTGATACCGTATCCATTATTTTCTTCCCCACTTTTCCATTAGGCTTCTTTCTCATCCGCTGCGTGTTGGCGGCGGCGGCGCGGCTTTTACCTGCCTTTTCGCCTTTCATCGACGGCGGTGGCGGTGGCGGGGCGCTAGACGCCCCAATCTAGTGGCCTCCCGGCCAGCCGTCTCATTCGTGCTTTTGTCGTTTCTATCCCTCTCGCGAGTCGCCCCGTTGGCGTGCGAGGGAGCGTCCGGAATCGGAGAGGACCGTGTTCATTTTGCTGAGTGTCTGGCGCGGCCTCGCGTGCATCGGCACCTGATTTGTCTGGCTCTGGCGAGAAATATGGGACGCGGGGCTGCCCGGGGCTGCTCTGGGCATTCCCTCGTGCCCCCCACCCTCCCCACCGACTCGCGCCTCGCGGCTTGCCCAACTTCCCATCCTGTCCGAGCAAGCCAAGTCTAGTCCGCGACGCGTCGCTCGCGTCGCCGGTCCGTGATTTACGGCTGTTTTACCGACGGACGGACGGACGCCGCTGACGGACAGACCGACCGACGGACGGTCGGACGGCGGTGAAGGGGCGACGCCCCGCGGCCCGTCTGGCCGGACGCGTCGCCGCGTCGCCGCGTCGCCCAGATCGACGCCTTTGCCTTTTAATTTATCGCCGAGGAGAGAGGAGGCGCCGGTGTGGCGCTTTGTGTTGTCGCCCTGGTTCCCCGCGGCCAACACTTTGCAGCGTTTTGCCCCCGTGCTGTCTGTCTGTCTGTCTCTGTCCGTCTGTGTCTGTCTGTCCGTCCGTCCGTCCGTCCGTCCGCATATCTCCTGTTTGACCATCCTTTCCTTATGTCCCTCCCTGTGTCGCCAACCTTCGGCTCACGTCCATGTGTGGTGCCCGTCTGTGTGTGCGTGAGCGAGAAGGAGAGAGGGAGCGAGCCTTGAGCTTGAGGCCCCTTGAAAGCCATTTCGCCACGTCTTTGTGCCATCTCCTTGACCAGCTCGTCCACTGCCGCTGTTGCACAGTCACCTGACTCCCCGTCCCGGCCGACCTCTGGCTGGCCGCCTCTGCTGAGTCGGGCCCCGTCGGGCCGCGGGTCGTCTGTCTACATCGCGCTCTGCAGCGCCTGTGTTATTTTATCCCCGAAATGGCAATGCTCTCCGCGCCGTGCGCTGCACGCTGCATGGGCAGCGCTTGCCTCGCCGCTCCGCCGCCTGGCTAAAGTTCAAGGCGGCGCCGTCCGTCTTGCCTGCCTGTCTGCCTGTCTGTCTGCCTGTCTGCCTGTCTGTCTGCCTGTCTGTCTGTCTGTCTGTCTGCCTGCCTGCCTGTCTGTCTGTCTGTCTGCCTGCCTGTCTGTCTGTCTGTCTGTCTGTCTGCCTGTCTGTCTGTCTGTCTGTCTGTCTGTCTGCCTGTCTGTCTGCCTGTCTGTCTGTCTGTCTGTCTGTCTGCCTGTCTGTCTGTCTGTCTGTCTGTCTGTCTGTCTGCCTGTCTGTCTGCCTGTCTGTCTGTCTGTCTGTCTGTCTGTCTGTCTGCCTGCCTGTCTGTCTGTCTGTCTGCCTGCTGTCTGTCTGTCTGTCTGTCTGTCGTCTGCCTGTCTGTCTGTCTGTCTGTCTGTCTGTCTGTCTGCCTGTCTGTCTGTCTGTCTGTCTGTCTGTCTGTCTGTCTGCCTGTCTGTCTGTCTGTCTGTCTGTCTGCCTGTCTGTCTGCCTGTCTGTCTGTCTGTCTGTCTGTCTGCCTGTCTGTCTGTCTGTCTGTCTGTCTGTCTGTCTGTCTGCCTGTCTGTCTGTCTGTCTGTCTGTCTGTCTGTCTGCCTGCCTGCCTGTCTGTCTGCCTGTCTGTCTGTCTGTCTGTCTGCCTGTCTGCCTGTCTGTCCGTCCGTCCGTCCGTCTGTCGTTCTGTGTCACACAGAGCCACTCTCCTCTTCCTTTCACGCGCGTGCGAGAAGTAGTGTCGATGAGGCGTCAGGTGCGAAAGCGGGCCGTGGCTGCTGCAGTCTACCCCGCACTCGCTCTGCCCCTCTCGCACCTTCACGGCACCGAGTGCGAGAGAGACAGAGCGATGCTGTTCGGCATGGCTGCGCGCGGCGGCATTCCTCCCCACTTGGCGTCGCGGCGCCAAGGGGTGTCGTCTCCTCCGCGCTGGCGCGTGGCCGGCGACACACTCGAGCGCAGTGCACGGCAGTGCAGTGCCGTCGATGTCGTCCGCTCGATGAATAATGTCACGTTGGACATCGACTTAAATATTCACTTCCGTAGGTTCCTGTTTTTCGAAATTAAATTTTGTCCGCTTTTTTTTACCTCCACATGGCGGTCGTAATGTGCTCGCCGTTTACGGGGCACGTGGGCCATTGGTCAAGTTAGCGCTCCCCGCGGCCCGTCGCGGCGCCCATGGCGCCCATGGCCCGGCCAGCCGCCACGCCCCCGGCCCAGCAGCCTGTGCAACTGGAGCCCCACGGCCAAGGCCAGCCAAGGCAAGGCGTACGGCGCGGCCCTGGGGACTGACAGCGACAGGCGTTCGACTGTTTGACGCGGGCATTTGTCCGGCCCGGCAGTGCGGCCCGCCGATACAGCGCGGCACGCCTTGGGGCCGACAGGCGGACTGCGCCAGACTTTGCACGTCCCGCCGCGGCCAGAGCGATTCCGAAGGAGCCCTGTCTCTCTCGCACCCTTACGGAGCGCGCCGTGAGTGCGACGGAGACAGAGCGACGAAACGCTCGCGGGTCACTCGGCAGGGAGTGCTGTCTGCGCCCCCCGGCCGTGCGGCCCCAGCGGCCCCCGCTGCCCCCGGCGGCGAGGCCCCGCTGTCCCGACCCGAGTTTGCATATGATGCATGTGCTGCAGCGCGGCCCTAGGCGCTGTGCTGCCCCGCCGGCCGGTCGGGTCGGGTCGAGCAGGCACTCGAGTCCCGCATCGAGTAGCAGTGCGAGTGGACGCCGGCATCAGGCAAGTGGACGCGGTCCGCCGGAGCCGAGGCACCCACCCTCGGGCCACTCATCCTGCTGCAGTGCAGACTGATTCCGAGAGTCGCTCTCTCACTCACATGGCGGACCGTGTGGGCGGTGCGAGAGAGACAGAGCGACAGTCTGCCGTGGGTGCCACCCCTCTCTTCGCGCGCGGACGGAGACCGTCGTCCGGCCCCTGCGTCTGTGCGAGTGCGACAGAGCCTGACTGTAACGAGCCGCACTGCGTGCCGCTGCACTGGAAAAAGGGGGCCGCGGGGCGACAGCGCGCCACCACACTGCCCTCGCGGCCCTCGCGGAGCAACACGTGACTTCATAACGACGCGCCTGTTCCTACATTCCACACACGCTGCTGTGCGGTTTCGTCCCTCCTCTCCTCTCTTGCTCTGCCTAATTCTCCTGTTGCCGTCTTTTTATTCTTTTTTCGTTATGGCCTCGTTTCCTGGAGTGGGTACTGACTTCTGGGCTAGGAGAGTCCGCGGCTTTTGGGCGCTATGGCTGCTGTGCGCGGCACGCCCCGCCCCGCCCCGCCCCGCCCCGCCCCACCCCGCCCCAACGCGCGACCGCAAAGGCACCGCAAGGCCCGCTTCGACTGATGGCTCCGGCTCCTCAGCGTGCTCCTCCCCAAGTCCCTCTACTCCGAGTCCCGATGGGTATCCTCAGGGATGCCCTCAAAGGGGCCCGGCGTGCGGCACCGTGCGGCACCGTGCGGCACCGTGCGGCACCGTGCGGCACAACCAACCCCCAGCCACCTTCTTGTATCCATATTACTTAGGGCTGACCCCCCCGGCCCCAGGCCCCAGGGCTTGGTTAGGCCCGGGCTCCGAAAGTAGAGAACTCGCCCATTTTATTTGCCTCTTTTTGCCTCCCCCTCGCTCCTCTTTTTTCCACGCGAATGGCGTCCCCTTATTTACCGAAAGAAAGCGAGTCCCTGTGTAGTCGCGGCTCGCGGCCCAATCAGATCCGGCATGTTTAAACTCTAATCTCCTGAAAGACATGCGCTATCGCCCCGCCGCGGCCCGCCGTGCTCGCTCGGCCTCCGCTATTGGCTCGGCGGGCTCGGCGCGCTGCTATTGCAAATATTGCTCCGCTTTTTGGGCCTAATTAGCTGACGAGTCGGGAGGGCCGCACGCCGCGCCGAGACGCTACCTGTTGGATGGAATCTTGTCAGAGAGGCGGGCTTTATTCCCGAAGCCATCGGCTGCGAGGCGGGGATTCCGGGAGCCGTTGTCGTCGCTCTCTCTCGCACTCGCGGGGCGGACTCTAAAGGTGCGAGAGAGACAGAGCGACGAAAACGCGACTCTTCTCAGAATGAGTCCGCTGGCTTGGCCGGGCCTGAGGCCGGGCCCC